CGCTATCCGGCATTCTAAATTCCTCAAAAGGAACTCAAAGTGGCGCTTAGTTCCGTTTGATAGAAATACTCCAAATATGTACTTTTACAGTACTTTTTCAATAAATTCTCAAGAAATTCAGTGCCTCCTCCAACAGCAAAAGTCCGTACATTTTCAGTACCTCCATTTGACGAAATTCGCAAAATTTCAAAAATTTGAAATTGCGACAAAAATGACAAAAAATTAAAAGAATTCTGGACTTCTTTGCGGAGTTTCCCCGCACTTTTTCAGTACTTCCGGACCGCCCGTCAAAAATCGGTACTATTTCCGGACCTTCCGGAAATTCCGGACTTGTAGACACCCTGCCAATTTACATTAAGACCTTATGGACTCTATGAAAAAACGGTATTACCTACTTTCCCGAGGTTCCAGAGGAGAATCTCGAATTTTTTTCATCTTTCAGCAGATTTTTCAGCGCGCACATTCACATTCTTAATTCCGAAAGCGTTTCTGATGTTAATATTATCTTGGTCAGTGAAAGATTCCCTATTATACGATGATTTTGAAGGTTCAAATACGTCATTCAAGAGGTCAATAATGGCGGCTCAGGTGCAATAATGTAAACCTCGGTAGCGATAGGTACAGATAAATCCAGGTCTTTCCCGGCGTGGACACCATGACATTTTTCCCATGAATACTGCCGTGCTAAGGAAAAACGCCGTATGAACCTTCAGGCGTTGCAAAATTTCCTGTTATAAAACACGAATTTCCTGGTAAACTTATGAATATTTTCCTTCCAATTTTTCTGATAATTTTCTCCACAATTTCACATAAAGTTCCCGAAAGTTTCAAGGAAAAATATTCATAACTTTTCTTATAAATAAACATTTTACCGAAGGAAATTTGGCAACTCTCGAATGTTCATACGGCGTTTTCCCTTGGCACGGCAGAATACAGCGGCATTCAGTAACGTTCGTCAGTAATTTGAGACGGGTGAAAAGCTAAAATTTTCCTTCATTTTCGCGTGATACCACATGATTACCTCGGAGTTCGAATTGTTGCGCGATTGGTGTCTGCTTTGACCAGTTTTGATTCACGCATAGAACATTTGTATGCCAATTTCGGTGAGCATTCAAAAAACGCACACGCACTTTTTCTGGTGGTATTGCATAAAAACATAACAAATTACTCGTATTTTACCTCAATATCGCGGTATTTACGCGAATTTTCAAGAATTTTGAAAACGCGTAAAAAGTTACTTGCATTTACCTCCATACCGGTGCAAATACGCGATTGTTCAAGGGCTTTTGTGATAAAACAAAAGATTCCGCGTTTTCCGCCTTCATTCAGCAGCAGATACGCGATTTTTGAGGACATTGAGACATTTTTGAAGACGTTAGGAGTAGGTATGGAGCGATCTTATTGGTTAAAATGGGTGGTTCTTACAGACTAAGGGGGAAAGGATGGACAAACTAATAGGTATCTTGTCGGTTGCCGTTAGTTAGTCTATTATCTCTTTTTCCATTGCAACCACCCGTTTCCACCAAAAGGATCCCTCCAAATCCTTTTTGTCTTTTTTTTCCATAGCTTTGTTCATAAATTTCAACAATCAGCTCCCTGATCGGATCTAATCAAGATTTTCCAACATGATGAGAGAATGAGATTGAGAATTTTCGTCGGTACAATTTACAAATAATGGAGATGTTGCATGTGTGAGGGATTTGCGATTTGACCATTGATTCTTATGTAAAAGTTTGCAAGAAACACGATGGTGCCACTGGTTTTCTCTGAAATCAACTCCCAAGCTCAAAAAAAGCTCTCACAGTGAGGCCAAAATGGAGGGGATATCCCACCCTACCCTGAGAGTCCACCTCTACATCAGAACAAACTCTCCATACATGGATAGGGAGCAAATACATTAGCAGGGTTGCCACTTTATTTGGGGACTCCAAAACTGAAATCACGGCAACCCTGCTAATGTATTTGCTCCCTATCTTTGCATGGAGTGTTTGTTTTGATGTAGAGGTGGACTCTCAGGGTAGGGTGACATATCCCCTCCATTTTGGCCTCACTTTGAGAGCTTGTTTTGAGCCTGGGAGATGATTTCAGAGAAAACCAGTGGCACCATCGTGTTTCTCACGAACTTTTACATATGAATCATCGGTCAAAGCGCAAATCCCTCACACATGCAACACCTCCATTACGAACAATACAATATATTTTAATCATTTTGGTGTGCTTAAAATATGTCAGTTCTAAATTAAGATCTAACTTCGGCAACTGGTCCGGCCTCATACCTAGACTATTGTTACACTCACGCGTAACATATTACACAATACTCGTAAGTTGACTGAACTCTCGGTTCTCGGCTGACATCATTGTGGCCCCAAAATACAATCGTCCAACGGTATCAGCCGTTTTTTATCGTTCGCTAATTGAGCCGTTTAGGGAATTGTTTGTAATTGTCCAGATACGCGAACCATTATATTGTTAAAAATACGCCTTATCCATCCGGCGTCTGAAACTTATCTCGCCAAAATTACCACCTCGCGCTGAAATCTAGCATCACCCGATCAGGTGATAGAATTTTTTTAGCTACGCACTAGTCTGGTTTTCTTCTACGCCTGCTCTAATGGAATATAAACGATAACGTTCTACGATAGATTATTTTGGAATCGCTGATGCCCAATGTGATTGTTCTTGGTGGCCGGTAATTTGTTACATCACGTGTCTGACACTGAATTGACCCGTCGCGTGTGCTTGACGGCGAACTGCTTTCGGCTGGTCGGGCATCGCCGCGAGACCGTCCAACGCTATCGACCGAGGGTTTCATTTAATTCTTTTTGAGGTTAGAGGTGGTGATTAAAGCAGAGATAAATGGGACGTATTTATGATAAAACAGACTATTTAACGCACAAACCCTGCGTACATAGTTCCTTTTAACATAAATACATTCGAATAGTCCCTAGCTTCCATTGGAATGTAGCACCTGCCAGGAGCATGTAAGATATAAGCCGGTGACATGCTGGCCACCGAGGGGAAAAGTGTACCTTGTACCAGTTGTGCGATCTCCAGCTGCCATTACTCGATGCGGTTTTCGCACAACTACGCAGCGGGCGCACCCTTATTCGAAAGTTGTGCAACTTCTGCCGGTTACTGTGTGGTATCTGTGTGGTTACTGTGGTGTATAATATCAGACGATGTCGCTCGTTCGTTACCCGCGTCGAGTGACGCAATAGATTGCGTCATTCTTACTCAGATCCGTTCTAAAAATTGAAACGTCACTCGTTGGCTTCTAAAGTCAGGGCCCTGCAATTTCCTTTATCTTTAGGTAGACGCTGGTAAAAATTGGCAGTAGAATCTGTGTTCCATAATATCATGGACCTACAGTCGGCTGTAAGATTTCCAATAGCTTCTATAGCCGGCACACAATTTCTTACAGCCTTTTATAGCCGATGGCGATTAAGCAACTGCCAGGCGATGAAGTGCATGCTAAACGTTACTAATTACGGATGCTAGGACTTAGTGAGTTTTTGGACTACTGCTCTCTTTTTGGGCCGTAATCTTGATTTATTTTGCGAGGAAAGCTCCGTACTTTTGATGGATGCCTACCATTCCTAATATATTAGAGCGCCTTCAGTTTCGTATGATACTGTGCAATACCTCTGGTGTGAAATAGTTGCTTCAAGCGCCGTGGCACGCTGCGGCGCGGCAGACGGGCAGCCAGCAAATTTGGCGCCTACAAACCTAACAGGCGCCTACAAACCTAACAGGGATACTTCACGCGTTGCGCAATGCTTGAAGTGTCCCTGTTAGGTTTGTAGGCGCCAGTGCGACGCCGCTCCGCTTTGTGTAAGGCTCTATTATTTAATCTGGCGGAGTCAGCGTCATTCAAGTCATGATTTTGAAATGTTTGCACATCCTGTATGGATTATTCTTATTTTAATTGATGGAAAAAAAAAATTTATTAAAGGAAAATATAATGTGTGTTTTGTAAATATTAAGGTGGTTCCGTATCAAACTTAGTGATTTCCAAAGCACACGAATTTCTACACAATTTCTTATAGCCTTTAATAATCGATGGCGAAAAAGCAACAGCCAGGCGATAAAGTGTAAAGCCCGGCAATAGGACCTATAGCCCGGCTGCATAATTTTTTATCGCTTCGTATAGCCCGGCCGTATGATTTTCTCCGCATTCTACAGCCAGCTATATGATTTTCTGTAGCCTTCTTTAGCCGGCTATAAGAATTCCTATGGTATTTTGAAACGCAGCTCTCATCGCCAATTTTTACCAGGGGAACTTCATTGAAGATTGTGCACTGCGCATCGTTTCAGGAGTGTGGGCTGCGCATCGTTTCAAGAGTGTGCGCTGCGCATCGTTGTAAGAGAACGAAGAGAGTTGCTGTTTGGGCAGATCTCATTATTTTTAGCTGATTTACAAGAATCAACCATCTAAGGTGATTCGTCGGTTGCCATTTTTTGTGTCAGAGCGCCGTGTGATACATCGCATCAATTCGTTCCATAATTTCATCTTTTTGTCATTTTTTTTCGAATTTTGAGATCGCCGTTTAGTTGTCATGAGACTAAACAATTCATGTACCAAATTTGACAAATTCAACGTAATGAAGGCAAGGTTTTATGAGAGGAAAAATATCGCATTCGTGATTCGAGTGGAGTTTCGATATCAGTGTCGAATGTGATATTTATCCTTTAAAGAAACCCTGCCTTTATTACGGTGACTTTCTTTGTCAAATTTGGCACATGGATTCTTTAATCTCATGACAACAGAAGTGCGATCTCAAAACTAGAAAAAATGACAAGTATAGCTGAAATTATGGAACAAATTGATGCGATATATCGCACGTCGCTCTGACACAAAAAATGGCGTCCGTCGAATCACCTTAATTCACGATTCTGAGACCAGCGCAACTGACCCATTTTACCACCTTGTCATATACAGTTCGTGCCACATTTTTTAAGTGTTTTTTCTGATTATTTATTTGTGTGTCCAATTGTTTCAGAGGAAAACGAGTGTCCATCTTTCGGTGCGAACGGCACATCAACAGACTGCTCGACGTACGAGCTGCCCGGCCAAGCAGTGGACGAACACGTTGTCTCGGCCGTTCTCTGGATCCACATCGTCTTCGAGCAGCAGACCCGCCCCAATCTCGAAAATGAAATCTCAATCGACCTCAGCTTCGACAATCGCGGAGACCATCAATTCACCTACAATTACCAAAGCTCATCCCTTACAGGTGAGCTACTTTTACTATTCGCTCGTTACCGGTTACTTATACCGAGTTACCAGCAGGCTGTTGAAACTGATAGACAAAGCTATAGACAACAAGGTGATTCACAGTAGCGAGGCGTGAATGATCGATTATCGATATTTCTCCATTTGAAGTTATGGAAAAGAATCGATTATTAAGGTGCTCGCTGCGAACACTCTATCTATCGACCTTTTCCCATAAGTTTAAATGGTAAATCAATCGATACATCGCAGAGCACGCCATGCTACCGGTGATTCGATAAAAAAATTCATAAGAACTCGAAATTCGACGTTGAAACCACCAGATCACGTATCTCGTTTGCGGTGTTTAAAGTATTTCCTCCCATTTAATGGAGATGTTGCATGTGTGAGAGATTTGCGATTTGACCATTGATTCTTATGTAAAAGTTCGCGAGATACACGATGGTGCCACTGGTTTTCTCTGAAATCATCTCCCAAGCTCAAAAAAAGCTCTCAAAGTGAGGCTAAAATGGAGGGGATATCCCACCCTACCCTGAGAGTCCACCTCTACATCAAAACAAACTCTCCATGCAAAGATAGGAAGCAAATACATTGGCAGGGTTGCCACTTTATTTGGGGACTCCAAAACTGAAAACACGGCAACCCTGCTAATGTATTTGCTCCCTATCTTTGTATGGAGAGTTAGTTTTGACGTAGAGGTGGAATCTCAGGGTAGGGTGGGCTATCCCCTCCATTTTGGCCTTACTTTGAAAGGTTTTTTATGAGCTTGGGAGATGATTTCAGAGAAAACCAGCGGCACCATCGTGTTTCTCGCGAACTTTTACTTAAGAATCAAAAGTCAAATCGCAAATCCCGCACACATGCAACATCTCCATTCTTCTGAAAAAGGACAAATCAATATAATTTATTGACATTGTCATGTAGTTTTATCCGCACCGAGAAGAAAAAACACGAGAGTTTTCAAAAATTGACATCGAGTAGTCCTCCGTTTAAAAAATAATGTACGACCGGAATTCTACAACGTCGCAAACCGAGACCGCGATACGTGGTCTGGTAGTTTCACTGTCGAATTTCCTTCAGCAATGGAATCCTGTGTCAATTTTCATGTGTATAGAATTTTGTCGGATCGCTGAAATGAAGGCGCACCGCGCTGTGTCAAAATATGATGATTAATATCGTGTGTGTACTTACAGATGGTTGGATGAAGATTGATCTGGTGCCGCAGGTGCGGCGATGGCTAGAGGAAGGTGACTTGACGCACCATATCAAAACCACATGCAAAAACTGTGAACCGGACGTTAGGATTTCCAGTGATCATGATTCCAGGCCGTTCCTAATTTTGAACACAGAGCCGATGAACAGGGTAAGATTTCAATATTGGTCACACTACCTGGCGTGTTACCAGCGGGTCGATCGTTGAATCGCTATCGAATGAACTCGATCGATAAATCCCTATCTTAGCAATGCTTTCTATCGATCAAGGTCATTCGATAAATCCCTATCTTAGCAATGCTTTCTATCGATCAAGGTCATTCGATAAATCCCTATCTTAGCAATGCTTCCTATCGATCAAGGTCATTCGGTAACGATTCAACAATCGACCCGCAGGGCTGCCGTGCTAAGGAAAAACGCCGTAAGAGCATTCGAGTGCTGTCAAATTTCCTCTCAGAAATTATCAATTTTGAATGAGAGTTATGAATAATTACCCTCGACATTTCCAGACTTTTTTTTATTTTTTTTTTATCGAATTTCGACCAAAATCCTCTGAAAAATCGGAGGAGAAATATTCACAAATTCTCCGGAATTTTTTTTTTTTAAATCAAATTTCGACCAAAATCCTCTGAAAAATCGGAGGAGAAACATTCACAAACTCTCCTGAAAACTCGTTGTTTTTTTTTTTTTTTTTTT